CACCAGGGTCCACCACCTCAACTGGCTCCTCTCAACGTGGAGGAGCCGCTACTCTGAGTCCCTCCGGGATGACTGAGCTTCTCACCCTATCTCTAAGAGAGAGCCCAGACACCCTGCAGAGGAAACTCATTTCAGCTGCTTGTATCTGTGATCTCGTTCTTTCAGTCACTACCCAAAGCTCGTGACCATAGATGAGGGTAGGAACATAGACCGACTGGTAAATCGAGAGCTTCACCTTCTGGCTCAGCTCCCTCTTCACCACGGCAGACCGGTACAGCGCCCGCATCACTGCAGACGCAGCACCAATCCGCCTGTCGATCTCCTGCTCCATTCTTCCCTCATTCATGAACAAGACCCTGAGATACTTAAACTCCTCCACTTGGGGCAGGACCTCCTCCCCAACCCGGAGGCAGCACGCTACCATTTTCCGGCTCAAGACCATGGTCTCAGATTTGGAGGCACTGATCCTCATCACAGCCACTTCACACTCGGCTGTGAACCGCTCCAGTGAGAGCTGGAGATCAGGATCTGATGAAGCCAATAGGACCACATCATTCGCAAAAAGCAGAGATGTGATCCTAAGGTCAAAAAACACCTTGGCTGCACCTAGAAATTCTGTCCATAAGAGTTATGAACAGAATCGGTGACAAAGGGCAAATTTAAATTTATGATTACATTCAACAAAATAAACAACTTTTCAAGGTGAAAGATAATAATACTTGTCCTTCCTTTGAGCTGTTGGCTTTAAGTAACTGAATAATTTTATTGGATAGCTCAGTGTTAAGTAAGCTGCTTTAAAGCCAGCATTGACCATAAACTACATCTCCCATAATGCATGTTGATTATGCTGGGAATTCGCTGTCAGAAAGTGGGAGAGTTCAGAATTCAAGATGGCGGCTACTCACCACAACCCATCAGTGAGTAAAACTCTTAGTTTAACTGTTAATAGTATTTCTGTGTTTTTTTATTTTACATTTAGTCAGTCGTACACTTTGCACTTGTCAGTGTTTATAAGAGGACGTGTTAAAACACTGTCTCGATGCAGGAAATACCAGGTTGAGCTCAGGTATTGTTTGTTAGCAGTGAGACGAGGAACGTGTTCAGTCAAAGTTTAAATTAAATGTCAGTTAACCACAACTGGCCCTTCGAGGGCCACCATAACGCTCATGTGGCCCTCGGTGAAAATGAGTTTGACACCCCCTCTTTAAAGGAAAAAAGTCTTTCCTCCACAGTGAGGTCAGAGGTCAGCCTGGAAACAACCAAAGCTAACAGTTAATAATCAGCTGTTTTAGGATAAACCAGTGATTAAGTTTTAGTGTTTGTGTATTGTGAGGTTTTTTTTGTAGAACATGATGTTTGGTTTTGTCTCTATTTAAAACGTGACGTTCTCTCTCCGTCTCTTGTTTCTCAGGGGACACACAGAAGAACGTGGTGATGTGGATGGACCACCGTGCTGCAGAGCAGGCCGCTCGTATAACAAACACCAAGCACAGGGTCCTGAGCAGGGTGGGAGGGGTCATGTCACCTGAGATGCAGCCCCCTAAGCTTCTGTGGCTCAAAGAGGTGAGCAGGGTCACTGCTGGGCTCAGGTCTCTGTGTGTGTCTGTTGTTGCTGCTGAAGCCGTCTAAACAACAAACATCTGTCAGCTAACATCTGCAGGCAGGTGGTGGTCTTTTCTCACTCTGACTCCAAGTTAGATTGAAGGCCTCAGGGAAAATACGTGGAAACCTCAGCTTTAATCTCTACGTTTCTAGGACTTTTGCTACTTGCTGCCACTAGGCAATGTGTTTGTCAGCAGTCATGTTTCCATCCAATTTTAATTCGAATTTTGAGCGAACCTTTAAAATGTCACAAAAAGGGAAAAGAAGAAGAAATGCGAATCAGACGTGTTTCCATCAACTGGCTTGGAGCGAATCAACCAGGCTACACAAAGTGTAATTACGTCAGACGCTGACGTTACTCATGGCTGTAGTAAACAGGAAGTAGAGGTTGTACTTGCAGGGATACACGTCTCGGGACAATAAAGAGAAGTTATCAGGAACATGTTGCTCAAAAAATCCAAAAATTACCTTCAGCGAGGATATAAACGTTTTTGCGAAATAGAGGAAGTTTTTTCGAATTGTGTCATTTCCATTCACCTTTTCTAATGCGATACTTCAACATGTGCATAAAAGATGTTGATGAAAACACGGCTACTGTCTATGTGTCTGTTATTAAAATATATTATGAAGCACTGGATGAATTTTACTGAAATTTACAAAAGAAATCATTATTCTATACTCAAAAAGCAGAAAAAAGTTATGTTATTAATATTAATATTGAGTTAAGGTTTTTTTATGGTGCCTAAATTTATGCACCTGCCTAATTTTGTTTATTTCTGTAAATCATATAAACTTCATTTCACTTCTCAAATATCACTGTGTTTGTCCCCTATATGATATATTTAATTGATTGTTTTATCCAAACAATAAATGATTTATAAAGGTAAATCAGGAAAATTAACAAGGCTGCCCAAAATTTCGCACCCCACTGTATATATGGTGTTAGTTCCCGAGCTAACAATATTAGCTCAGGGGCTAACGCGATATCGCCGTATTAGCTTAGCGCTAGCGAGAAAGCTAACAGGCTAAGCTGAGGTTCTCCTTCTATGAAGCAGCTCTGTTGTCCTCCATCCACATTTTCAGATGCAGACTGAGTCATTTCTACATTCTCCCCTCATTTAAAAGGGCTGATCATGAGTTATTGACCAAGATTAACCTTCAGAGTGAATAACGTTTGCTCGCAGCCTCACACCGGAAAACCTAGTCTGTGTCATCATTTACCTGGTATGGTTTGCTGCTTTAATAAAAAGTCTCTGCCTATGTGACAATATATTTTTAAAAAATATATAAAAACTAAACAGCCTACAGTACTTTTACAGTATTTGTTTTACAGTTAAATAATGTTTTTTCTCAAATAATGTCTAATGTTACAAGTATTGTGGATCCCTTCAAGGCTGGTTTATACATCAATAAGACAATGGATCACTTTAGACGTCTTTGTCTCACAGTGTTTAGACACACAAGACTGGAAGTGGATGTGACAGTGGAAGTATAAATCTGCCTTTAGCTAACACAGAACATGACTTCAACTCAGTCCGTTTGACAGATGAGCTAGAATTGAATGTGTTGTTAGGTGAGGGTCTGTCTCAACATTAACTCCGACCACGAGATCTTATTACATCACATGAGACTGTTCACAGCATTTCAAGGTTTGACCAAAACTCCTGCAGCTCCTTCCTTTCTCATCACAAAAGGACTTTAGTCTAAAACTCTTTTTCTTTAAGGAATGCTTTGTAAAGGTGGAATCTTCCATTCCCCCTCCCACACTGTTTTGGTTGTCACTAATCACTTTCACAGGTGTCTCCAATCCAGCTGCTTGATGAGCAGCATTCTTAAGGAGAGACTTCACTGCAGGACGACGCCGGATCAAAGAGTAATCTGGGTAGGACTCTGTCTGGCTAAAACTAGTTCAATTCTAGTTTTATACTCACCCTGTCTTGTTTTGCCTTGTCTCTAGTTCTAATGAACCTTGATGTCCTCGCCTTCAGTTCTGTGGTCCTCAAAAAGCTTGGAAACAGCAGCAACTGGTCTTTTGTTTCACTTGTGGTTCACCGCTGGTTTTGGCTCCCTGGTCTCCACTCAACCTGAAAAAGGATAAAGTACTCTAACCTCCCTTCACTGTAAATACCTGCACTCACCTGTATATAACGGCACTGGAAGTCATCCTTGGACTCGACGCTGCATCTATAAAACAACATCCGTAAGTCAAACTCTTCCTTCTACCTGGAAATTATATGATTCAAGCTTRCCTGGATTTTCACGCCCCTCTCCTCTCCCTCGCAGATACAGCTGCCTCTTGGTACTCGGGTCCCGCAGCCTTAGGTTTTTTGTCTGAAACAATAAACTAATTTAACTTTGTATTTTTGCCTTGTGTGGTTGCTGAATACGTTTACGTTCGACATCCGGGTTCTGACCATAACAGTTTGATCCGGCCAAAATATGTCGAAAAACGATTCAGTCAATCTTGTCGAACTATCACAACGTATTTCCAGAAATGAAGAGGAGTTACATGAACTACTGTCTCAACAGAACACAGCACAATCCAACAGAGAAGAACTGGGAGCCATGTTACAATATATCACTATAAAATTGAATACTTTAGCACCACCCGGTCCAACCACTGCTCCCGCTCCACTACCAACAAGTTCC